AGCTTGAAGGTGATGTGATTACGATGCCTCTGGTATTTAACTGATTAATGCAAAAATGGTTTTGAATTATCAAAAGAGGGGAGTGTAATGACAGTTTTTAGAGTAATCACATTAAAACCAGCCGCAGCAAATACACGGACGTAAAAGGCCTTTTCAATGCAGAGACGACCTTCTGACGCCATGCTGAGCTTTGTGAAGGTCCCTGCTGTCTGTCACACCCTTGTGTCTTTCGCATCTCGCATCTGTATGCTTGCATTTCTACCATTGTCTGTCTGTTCGCACCTCCATGCCCTGTGTCTGATTGCCTCACCACAGGGGCATGGCGCCTGCGCTCCCTATGCGCCTCCTTCACCGGTGGCCCCCTCCCATCTGTTGTGGGCGTGACGGTCTTTCTATGTAAACAGGAAGCCTGAGCTCTGCGAGCCAGAGCTGGGTATGCTGCCTTTTGGATATGCTAGCTCTCCGCACGTGTGTTACAATAAACTTACGCTCCTGATTTAAGACAAAGACTTTTGAGCTTTCTCCTTGCTTTGGGGTATGTAATTCTATAACAAGACTCTCTCACTACTGTCTCCTTTACCTTCAGACTCTCTCACTACTGTCTCCTTTACCTTCAGACTCTCTCACTACTGTCTCCTATACCTTCAGACTCTCTCACTACTGTCTCCTTTACCATCAGACTCTCTCACTACTGTCTCCTTTACCTTCAGACTCTCTCACTACTGTCTCCTTTACCTTCAGACTCTCTCACTACTGTCTCCTTTACCTTCAGACTCTCTCACTACTGTCTCCTATACCTTCAGACTCTCTCACTACTGTCTCCTTTACCATCAGACTCTCTCACTACTGTCTCCTTTGCCTTCAGACTCTCTCACTACTGTCTCCTTTACCTTCAGACTCTCTCACTACTGTCTCCTTTATCTTCAGACTCTCTCACTACTGTCTCCTTTACCTTCAGACTGTCTCACTACTGTCTCCTTTACCTTCAGACTCTCTCACTACTGTCTCCTTTACCTTCAGACTCTCTCACTACTGTCTCCTTTACCTTCAGACTCTCTCACTACTGTCTCCTTTACCTTCAGACTCTCTCACTACTGTCTTCTTTACCTTCAGACTCTCTCACTACTGTCTCCTTTACCTTCAGACTCTCTCACTACTGTCTCCTTTACCTTCAGACTCTCTCACTACTGTCTCCTTTACCTTCAGACTCTCTCACTACCGTCTCTTTTACCTTCAGACTCTCTCACTACTGTCTCCTTTACCTTCAGACTCTCTCACTACTGTCTCCTATACCTTCAGACTCTCTCACTACTGTCTCCTTTACCTTCAGACTCTCTCACTACCGTCTCTTTTACCTTCAGACTCTCTCACTACTGTCTCCTTTACCTTCAGACTCTCTCACTACCGTCTCTTTTACCTTCAGACTCTCTCACTACTGTCTCCTTTACCTTCAGACTCTCTCACTACTGTCTCCTTTACCTTCAGACTCTCTCACTACTGTCTCCTTTACCTTCAGACTCTCTCACTACTGTCTCCTTTACCTTCAGACTCTCTCACTACTGTCTCCTTTACCTTCAGACTCTCTCACACTACCGTCTGTTTTACCTTCAGACTCTCTCACTACCGTCTCTTTTACCTTCAGACTCTCTCACTACTGTCTCCTTTACCTTCAGACTCTCTCACTACTGTCTCCTTTACCTTCAGACTCTCTCACTACTGTCTCCTTTACCTTCAGACTCTCTCACTACTGTCTCCTTTACCTTCAGACTCTCTCACTACTGTCTCCTATACCTTCAGACTCTCTCACTACTGTCTCCTTTACCATCAGACTCTCTCACTACTGTCTCCTTTACCTTCAGACTCTCTCACTACTGTCTCCTTTACCTTCAGACTCTCTCACTACCGTCTGTTTTACCTTCAGACTCTCTCACTACTGTCTCCTTTACCTTCAGACTCTCTCACTACTGTCTCCTTTACCTTCAGACTCTCTCACTACTGTCTCCTTTACCTTCAGACTCTCTCACTACTGTCTCCTTTACCTTCAGACTCTCTCACTACTGTCTCCTATACCTTCAGACTCTCTCACTACTGTCTCCTTTACCATCAGACTCTCTCACTACTGTCTCCTTTACCTTCAGACTCTCTCACTACTGTCTCCTTTACCTTCAGACTCTCTCACTACTGTCTCCTTTACCTTCAGACTCTCTCACTACTGTCTCCTTTACCTTCAGACTCTCTCACTACTGTCTCCTTTACCATCAGACTCTCTCACTACTGTCTCCTTTACCTTCAGACTCTCTCACTACTGTCTCCTATACCTTCAGACTCTCTCACTACTGTCTCCTTTACCTTCAGACTCTCTCACTACTGTCTCCTTTACCTTCAGACTCTCTCACTACTGTCTCCTATACCTTCAGACTCTCTCACTACTGTCTCCTTTACCTTCAGACTCTCTCACTACTGTCTCCTTTACCTTCAGACTCTCTCACTACTGTCTCCTAAGCTTTTTGCTCTTTTTTTCCTGATGTAACCATAGTTAGGAATTGCCACCACCACCATGGCTTTCATCAAATTCATGTTTACAGATACAGTATATACACATGTATCCCCAGTCAGATGTCTAAGTAAGTAAGTAAGTAAGTAATCTTTTATTTATATACCGCCCTTTTCACTCCAGACCAGAGTCTCAAAGCGATTTACAATTGTTATTTTTGGGCATTAATCTCTCACTCCACGCAGAGATGGGAGCGTGGTCACCAGTACAGGAGGCGCATGCTAGAACTATTGTACATATTTTTAGTGGTAGGGGAAACCGGAGTACCCAGAGGAAACCTACCCAGACACGGGGAGAACATGCAAACTCCACTCAGAAAGGCCCTGGTCCGAAATCCAGGGCCTTCTTGCTGAGAGGCGAGAGTGCTATCCACTCAGCCACCGTGCTGCCCAGACCCCCAATTAGTCAATGGGTCCTGTGTTGTTCCCTGTGGCTGCAGGACGCTCTCTGCTCCTGGTGCAGACAGCTCCTCGGATGGTGCTACCTCAGCTGGCTACACCTGCATTCTCATGTTTCCCATGGTTTTAATCTATGTGCCTGTTTATATGTGCCTGTGTGTGAATGTACGTGTGTGTGTATGAAATTATCAATTATTTCACAGTTGTTTTCAGCCTAAAAAATAGGTCTTCTATGAGACATATTACTCCCTGAGAATGGGTGGGGAAAAAAATACAGGCCTCCAGCATTTACAAATATTTAACTTATATTATCTCAACCTCAAGGAAAATCCCAATGACATTTAATAACTGCACATTTCAAACATTCCAAGGCTTCAATCTGAGACCGTTCACATCAGCAAACAGCCAACAAAGAGCGGATCTTTGCTGCCATCTTGTGGGCAGTCAACAAAAAGTGAAAAAAAGTTGTTGCGTTTATTTCTTGAACGCAGAAACAAAACAACACAAATATATACAAACAAAAACGTCATCAGCCAGTGTTCGACCAATCAAATCCAGTGTTTACTTTTCACAATACGACAATAGCTTCACTAAGTTCACTGTTGTAGAAACTAATGGATTATTTGTGAGTGTAAAACGTTAAATATGTTCAAATATCTAACTTTAAAATAGAGGAAAAATTAGTCAATAAATTGTCTCCTTTAGCTTAATTTCTGTCGCCTGTTAAAGTCATAATAGATCCATGGTTAAAGTGGGTGTTTTTGTCAAGAAACAGTGTCTCTCTGGAGAAGCCTGGGAAATGATGTCTCCTATTTGGATATTTTCATTGTATAAGTTTCCTCTGTCTGATAGAACATTTGAAGAAGATTCACATTATGTTGATGAATTGTTCCATTACATTTCCATAAACCTTTCCACAGACGCAGCTCAAACTCAAAGGTAAAAAATACAAAATGTACAACTTCTCACAGAGAAGTGACGTGTCATTGTTGACCCTCAAACACACTCAGCACTGTTAGCATTGCTCTACACCTTTACCATTGCTCCACATTGTTAGCATGGCTGCACACAGTTAGCATTGCTCCACAGCTGTCTGAGTCTGCGTTCACACCAGATTCACACAGAACTGTTCCCTGGTCCACTTCCACCTCAGTCGGTTCAGTTCCTTTGACCGGGATCATGACAACTGAAGTGAGCTCAGTCCAGTTGACTCAGTGTGAACGCAGGTTTAAAAAGTGCAGATGACAGATAGTGACAGGAAATGAACTGAGATTGGATGTTAGGGCCCTCACTCTGAATATAGACCCCTAAAACATGTTATACCTCATTTTAAAGCTCAGAATCTACAGAATTCTCCTTTTGAGAAACAGAAAACTCACTCAGACCATAAACACAATGTCGTCCGAGTGTTTGAATGTTTTTACTCCAGAAAGTCCCTTAATAAGGATTTATAAATAACTGCTAATTAGCTTTGGCTATAGGCACCATAATGGACACCATGGGTTAGTTGGGGTGTCCATGTCTCCCCACGTGTCTCCTCCTGAAGTACTGAAACTAAATCTCACTCAATTAAAGCTGGGGTACCTACATTTGGAGTAAAATGTTGAGAACAATTCATAACAAATCTAATCACAACAGGGTGTTTTGTTTTTGTTATGCAAACTTAAAAATATATCGGAGGATTATCAAAAATGTTTAGGAAACTTTTTGAACAAAACTCTCTGGTCTTAGCACGTATCACCAGAATGATTGGCAATTAGGAGGACCAATAGTCTTGATGATCCACCCGGAAGTGGAAAATCCTCTTAAATTAAATACCTTTAATTATATACCTTTTTGTTTTGTTTTTACTTTATAGGCCGTGAGCGGTTTTTCTGACCCGAGCAACTCCCATTTCTGAATCAAATTTTGAAACATAATTACTGTGATTTTGATTTCAAGTTTCAACCTGTCATTTGCACTTTAAGACATCGCGAATTTAGTTTCAAGTCGTTTTAAAAATGAATAACAGTCTACAAAAGAAAAGTGGAACATCCAAAAAGCCGCTTTCACAAATCCTCGTCTTGTATCTGACTCTGTGCGTCGTCCTCGGCCTCTTTCTGCAGCTGCTGGTACTTCCTCTTGAAAAATCCAAACTGAAATAAAAGAGAAAAAAGTTGTTGACAAATAAAATCGATTTTCTGCATTTGTAATTTGACTCATTTCTCAAATATCCACCTTCCACAAAAGTCCGATGGCCAGAGCGAGCAGGGCCAGGCCTCCGAACACGCTGCCCACGATCACTCCGACCGGGACGTCGCTTTTCTCTCCGGGTTTGTTCACGGTTAGCACCACCTGACGTCAGAACCAGAGACTGAGCGTTAGGAGAGGACCGTGGTGTTAGCTGGAATGCAGAAGAGGTCGACTAGAGCTAGCTAACAGGCTGTTCGAGCGGGAATGTGGAGCCAAATCTGTGCAAAATGTTGTAGGTAGTAACGGTTACCGAGCAACAATCGCCAACTTCCCTTTAATGCCTTGTGTTATTGTTTCTATATTTATTTTTATTACCATTAGTGCTTATTTGTTATTTTATTAAGGACTCTGAGTTGCCTTGTGTATGAACTGTCCTATACAAATAAACTTGCCATGCCTAATAATACTAATAATAATAACAATAATAACAATGCATCAGTTTTATATATAGACTCGCAAACATGCTTCACTTAATTCGGGCGTTCTGCTCTCCCAAAATTTCATCCACTGAGCGGCGCTGTGATCAAAAAATGACACCGTTTGTTGCCCAGTTCACTTCCGGTTGATTTCATACAATGGCGAATATGGCTCACAAAAACAACAAACGATTGACAGTGCCTGAATTGCGTGAAAGGTTGAAGCGAAAGGGTATTTGCAGTGTGGGAAAACGAAAGGAGGAATTGTTGTTGCTAGTTCAACGAGCGGATGGTGTTTATGAAGATTTAGAAGAAGATGACAGCGAGCAGAGTGAACGAAAACGGCTGTGTGTGCGAGTGACAGATGGTAACAATGAGAATGAAGTTCAGCTAAGAGGGAAGAATGTGAATTGGACGGATGATTTGCGCGATATGCCACTAGTTAGAGACGGGAATGTATTTGCATACAGAAAATGACGAAAACACTCAACCATTTAGAGAAAATGCGCCGGGCAGAGAGAACCCGGAAGTTGCGAAGGCAAGTGTTACCCATAATGCAACGCAAAATTCAGTCGCTCCCCCGCCCATCGGATGGAATTTTGGGAGAGCAGAACGCCCGAATTATTCGTTCACTCCATACACGGTGGTGGTATGACTACTACTATTGCAGCCACAGTTGCCCTGGGGCACACTGACAGAAGCGAGGCAACCAGTCTGTGCCATAGGCTGGTCTGTTCGTTCTTACAGGCAGCTGCTTGAGGCCAATGATGAGGAGGTCGGGGTTCGCCGTCTCAACGTTCACACTCGCCGTCAACTCCACGGTCTGATATGTGGCCTGTAACACACAATCACACACATAAACACACAAACGCACACACAGAGAGAGAGGGAGACAGAGAAAGAGGGAGAGAGAGACACACAGAGAGAGACACACACACACACAGAGAGAGGGAGAGGGAGAGAGAGACATGCACAGAGTGAGAAGGTGAGAGAGACACACACAGAGAGAGAGAGAAAGAGAGAGAGAGACAGAGAGAGAGAGAGAGAGAGAGAGTCACACACACAGAGAGAGGGAGAGAGAGAGAGAGAGAGAGACAGAGAGAGAGAGAGAGAGTCACACACACACAGAGAGGGAGAGAGAGGGAGAGAGAGAGAGAGAGACAGAGAGAGAGAGAGAGAGAGAGAGTCACACACACACAGAGAGGGAGAGAGAGGGAGAGAGAGAGAGAGAGAGAGACAGAGAGAGAGAGAGAGAGAGAGAGAGTCACACACACACAGAGAGGGAGAGAGAGGGAGAGAGAGAGAGAGAGAGAGAGAGAGAGTCACACACACAGAGAGTAAGTAAAGCCTGGTTCACACGAGACGATTTTAAAATTGTCGGCCGATTTTTCTCTGTGTGAGACCCCACACAGGGAGATAAAAAATCACGGGTCTAACCACTTTGGTCGTACAGTCTGTGGTGCGCAGCCACACGGCAAAAATCACGCAAACCACACACGAACCGATTCCCCCCCCACCCCCCCCCCCACACCCCACCCCACCCCCGAGTATTCACAGATCAGACGGAAATCTCAGGTCTCGCGAGATCAAGCGTGACTTCAGAGTAAACACACATGGCGGACGAAGAGGATGCATTGGCGATAGTTTGTTTTTATCGGAGAAAAGACGTAATCAAAAGAAAAGGCGATGGTCAAAGAAGTGTAGACAACACGAGCATGGACTATACTTGCTACATCGTGATATGGAGGCGTTTCCTCACCGCCTCGTCTCGTCTTCTGATTGGCTACACGCCGCAGTCATGGCAACGCGCACGTCTGTCCTCGGGGGACACCACATACGAAGAGAAATCGGGCCAAAACAATCCAACATGTTGGATATCCCCGATTTGAGATCGGGAGCAGTCCCGATGTCCTTCCGAGCGACGAGTGCAGTCTTAACACACCACACACGGCAGGATAATCTGTAAGATTTTGTTACGGAAATCGGAGCGTTTCTTAAGATTGTCGTAAGGGGTAAATCGGGTCTAAATCGGCCTAAATATCCTGCCGTGTGAACCAGGCTTAAGTAAGCTTTATTTATATACCGCCTTTCACAGACCAGAGTCACAAAGCGGTTTACAATTGTTATTATTTTTGGGCATTTGTCTCTCACTCCACACAGAGATGGGAGCGGGGTCGCCAGTACAGGAGGCGCATGCCAGACCTATTGTGCATGTTTTTAGTGGTAGGGGAAACCGGAGTACCCGGAGGAAACCTACGCAGACACGGGGAGAACATGCAAACTCCACTCAGAAAGGCCCTGGTCCGGCCAGGATTCGAACCCAGGACCTTCTTGCTGAGAGGCGAGAGTGCTATCCACTCAGCCACCGTGCCGTGAGAGAGGGAGAGAGAGGGAGAGAGAGAGAGAGAGACAGAGAGAGAGAGAGAGAGTCACACACACACAGAGAGGGAGAGAGACGGAGAGAGAGGGAGAGAGAGAGAGACACACAGAGAGAGGGACAGAGAGAGACACAGACATAGAGAGAGAGAGACACACACACACACACACACACACACACACACACACACACACAGAAGGAGAGAGAGAGAGAGAGAGAGAGAGAAACCCAGACTCACGGTGATGAAGGTCCCATTCCAGATCCTGGTGTGGACGTGGATGTAGTAGTTGCTGATTGGCTGTGTGTCTTTAATGATGCACTTGATTCGCTCACATTTGGCCGTCTTACAATCCTGTCAATCAAAACACCACTTACTATAACCAGAAATATAAAGTTATCGATAAGATAACAGATTCTCTCCACAATTTGTTTAAACAAAGCACCTTAATGATCTTCACTTGTTATTGAAGCCGTTTTTGTAACAATTGTTGTATTTTTTGTTGTTGCTTATTCTATTTCTGTCCTTGTCTGGTCTTGATTTTTTGCACGTGTATTCCAATGTGGTTTTACTGCAAATGGCAAATACTCTGAATCTGAATGCTAAGATAAACAAGGCTCTCTGGATGCCTTTAATACTTCATTCTCCTGTTTTAAACACCTCCAGAATTTCTCCTGCGGGGGTCAATAAGATATCCATCCATCTATCTATCTATCTATCCATCTATCTATCTATAGATATTTTCCACATGGGTCTGACCAGTTCTTCGGAGGCCCTGAAGCTCTCCTCGGTGAAGGTCTGTTTGTGGATCTTTCCAGCAGAAGAAACGATCTTCAGAGGATCCAACAGAGCTCCGATATCTGGGCAGCTGACCGAGCCTCCCTGCACACACACACACACACACACACACGCCTTTACACCACTTCTAACTTATGCAGACATCTTATTTCACATTACAGTTTTTCTCAGTCGCTTTGGTGCATTTTTCACATCATTCTTCACATTTGCACAACTGTTGGTGCATTTCTCACAACAATTAGTGCAAACTGCAAAACCTGGTGGATAACCTGCAAAAGTGCCTCACCTACTCAAAATGAAAAGTTAATTCCTCAAAAGCAAGTCTTCAGGTCAATGAAACTGTCTGTGCCGTCAAAATAATAAGTCCCAACACCATTGAGTACGAACAAGACAGTCAAATGACTTAGTCATGTTTTCATTGTGAAGGTTTACTCTATTATGTGTTTCCAATGTATAAGAGTCAGATCTCTGTGAGCACTTTACACTGAACAGCCATTTGAAAACTGCAGTAAAGCTACACATGACTATATTTAGTAAAGTAACCCAAAGTAACTGAGTACAGGACACATAAGCAAGTATTTCACATTTATTGCATATGCCTTTTGGATTCCACAGCATTGTGCAAAAAAAGAAAAAGTAAATACTCACAGTATTTAGAACAAACATAAGAAATCCCATTATGGTAGAACTGTGCACAAATGTAAACCATACAACAGTACATATTACTGGAATAAACTAAATAATTTATTCTTGGACATCCAGGCGTTCCTGTCTGTCTGGCCACATGTTTTCATCTACATCACAGCGGATGTCTTCCCTTGCAAGGCAGCGAGGAAAGTATCTCCTTGAGTGGCGAATCCACCCTCTGCAGGACTCCACTGTGATGTCATCACATGCAGAATCCATGGCTGCTAGAAGGGCCATTTGAGCATGTGGACGCCGGTCATAAACTCTCCACCTCCAGGCAGAAAAAAACTCTTCAACCGGATTAAGGAATGGGGAGTAGGGGGGGAGATACTCAACCAGCATCCTGCCATGTGCTGCAAACCACTCTCTGACCACATGAGAGTGGTGAAAGCTCACATTATCCCACACAATGACATATTTACTCAGATGGTCTCCAGTTAGACCCCTCTCATTCTCAGGTATTATGGCTCTGTAGAGAATGTCTAGAAACGCAGGAAGGTGTTGGGTGTTGTAAGGACCAAGAAGGGGGATATGGCCGAGGACACCATTTTCCGAGATGGCTGCACACATTGTGATATTCCACCCATCATCCAGAGTGATCATGGGCCTCTTGGCTGCATCTCTGATCAGTCTTCTCCTTGTTTGAGATGAAAGTTTGGAGGGACGGCCAGGTCTTGGTAGATTTGCAGTGGTCTGATACTCCTTCCATTTCAATATAATTGCTTGCACAGTGCTCCTTGAGATGTTTAAAGCTTGGGAAATCTTTTTGTATCCAAATCCGGCTTTAAACTTCTCCACAACAGTATCTCGGACCTGCCTGGTGTGTTCCTTTGTCTTCATGGTTCTCTCTGAGCTTTAAACAGAACCCTCAGACTATCAAAGAGCAGGTGCATTTATACGGAGACTTGATTACACACAGGTGCATTCTATTTATCATCATCAGTCATTTAGGACAACATTGGATCATTCAAAGATCCTCACTGAACTTCTGGAGTGAGTTTGCTGCACTGAAAGTAAAGGGGCCGAATAATATTGCACGCCCCACTACAGAGCTTTGAATTTCTCTCAATCTAATGGCATTGTTTTCTGTCACCATTACACAAATGGCTTCCTCTCGTTGTGGAGTGAAAACAGGCCCCCTTCCACCTCTGTGAGGTTGTCTTGCAGTCCTATGAGTCGGAGAAAAAAAACACGTTTGTACAAATATAGTATTGTACAGTAAATGAGATATACAGTAAGAAGGTATTGGATTACTGTCCAACACTATACATACCTGTTCTCCCTACGAAATGTCTGAATGATGGAATTCACGGTGGTTCTCCCTACATTTGGTCGCACACGTCGGCCAGCCTCAACCATAGTGAGGCCGTGATTTACAACATGGTCCACAAGTGTAGCCCTAATTTCATCAGGAATTTGCTGATGTACTTCACCTCTTCTTCCTCTGCCCCTGTTTTGTTCCCTTCCCCGTCCTCCACGGATTCTCACTCTTCCTCCACGACGCTGATGTTCCATGTTTGTGTCACAGAATTGTACGAAACGATACACACTATGTCCTGCTTGGTTCATATATGCCAAGTGAGGGTTCATGGGATTCAGCTCTGACTGATTGTGGCTTGTCATTGGTTACAACTAGTGCTTCACACACCTCCTCATAAGTGAAAGTTGAAAATCACCTGAGAGCAATTGTTCAATTTAGGAGAAATGTTCAGGAAAAAAATAGATAAAGGAATGTATGAAATTAAATTGAAAGAAGTTTGATTTTGAGAACTAGTTCAACAGTTTTGAGTGTGATGACCAAAGCGATGAAATGAGGACTATTGGTTTTAGAGTGAAGGACTGTTCAGAAGTCATAAGTATGTTACATTTTGACTGACAGGACAGAAGCAAATGATCATGTTAAAAAACAGCAGAGAATTGTATAAAAGTAACTGATACATGAACAAAAGCATTTGAAATGTGTTCAGAGGAATGAGAAACTGCCACGATGATGTGCACCAGTGACACGATGTTGTGGAGGTTGAACTAATAGTTATGAGAACTTTAAGTCTGATGTGAAAAATGCACCAAAGCGACTGAGAAAAACTGTATTTACTGCGTGTCAAAGATCGAGTGCTGAGGTCCCCGTAGTGTTCGCCTCGACGCGGGAGAAGCAGATTTGAACATAAGATACTGTAGTCGGAGCCTATTTCTTTACAATGTCCTTATCCTTATAAATTGTCTTTCAAAAGAACTACAAAACTACTGCAAATGACAAAAACATTTTAACTCAATAAAACAAAATACACTTTTTAGAATGTATACAGCCCTTTGTGCGACCAAGCTTCACCCAAACTTGACCTTGTGCGTTGCCAGATACATCAAGACTTCTGTACAACTGTAGTGTAAAACTACTGTGTAATGTGCTGATGTCACCATTAGCGTGTATATGTTTACATGTTTGTTTAGGACACCCTCGAAAATGAGATGGTTCATCTCAAGGGGGTTTCCTTAAAGGAGCTATACCCGTTTCTGCAATGTTTGAATGTTCAGCAGCGCTCCCAACTCGCTCACAGGCTTCTCATTTCCTCTACGCTCTCATTCCACACAGCCATCTAGTTTTATTTGCAATCTGATGCTAACATTAGCATGAGCGCAACTTCACTGATGAAATGGTACAAAAGCAACGCACTGCTAACACAATATATATCTGAAAGATTAGCGCTAGTTTCACGTCCGAATGTCGTTCAAGCGCAGATAGTCCGAGCGTAGATAGTCCGAGCGTAGATAGTCCGAGCGCAGATAGTCCGAGCGTAGATAGTCCGAGCGTAGATAGTCCGAGGCGGTCCCGTTGGTTTCTCCCACAGACCAGTCTCTCCAGAGGATGCGATGTAAGCTAGCTATGTTCAGGGCTTGGTTTCTTCTTTGATCATTTTTCGCTTTAGTTCCCTCTTCTCTTCCTCACTGTTGTGTTGTTTGGGCTGTTTTGCTGTGTCTGCAGTTACAGCCAGAGGAGTTATAGCCACTTATGCTAACATGCTACTGTGTTTAGCAGCGCTGTAGAGGCTAGAGGACGCAGCCCCGTTCTGTGATTGGAGGAGAACGAGAGTCACGCTAAAGTCTCTACTCAGCACTTTTTATGGCCTGAATTCATACACAGCTGAATCAATGAGCTCAAGTTTTCAATGAAATTACAGATTATAACACGACTTGTATGTAGTAATAAGCATTTTTATGAACTCATTAAAAAACATCGGGTTTAATAAACCTAAACTTAATACGGAAGAGATTTGAACAAAAACTAGCTGGAGCCAATTTCCTTAAATGGACATGTTTTCCGCTGTGTTAGCTTTGCGTCACAACACCAAAAGCTTCACCCAAACTCCACCTTAAATGGACTTTGAGACGCTTCAACTCGAGGCTTATTGCAGACCAAATGGCGGCACAATTCCTCCACAAACACCAAAACACCAGAAAATCGGACCGGAAAAAATGAAGGTGTGACTCACGTCGGGAGTGTCCACACTGGTCACGTACAGCAGCTGGTTTCCGCTCTTGCTGGTCAGCGGCAGGTCGAGGTAGACGTACAGGAGGCTGACCGGAAGGATCCCTGTCGACACCTGAAGAATATACAGTAAGAGCATGTTTAAAGCTGGGGTAAGTAACTTTAAAACCACAACAACACAACGGAACTATGTCATAAAATCCAATTCACTATATTTCCTCGTTCTTCGGTGGCAACGTTTGAGGTACTCAAAAGATGGAAACTTTCCATCGGCATCATGGGAATTTAGGGGAATTAACTTGAAAATGTCCAAATTGAAGATTGGCTCTTCATAAGGAACTTTAATACACTTGAGGAATGTATTTTTTAGCAGATTCCATTCAAATACATGTTTGATGTAAGTCTTGATGATATTATAGGGAAACATATTTAATAAATGTTTAAATTAATTCAAACCTATTCATCCAGAAGCCAACTAAATTAGAAGCTAAATAAACTAGCATAACTAATTTTACCACATTAGGCAGATGTTAGCTACCTTACATACCTTCTTCCACCACCTGCCATATATTTTGAAGGTCATTCGGTCAAAGAGATTGTTCAATAAAATAATGAAAAATTGTTTTGTTCTACTTTTCAACAAATAAATCTGAATTGAAAACATTTTGCATGGGTTGTGAAAAGCTGCTCAAACTTATCTGCATCTAAGCTCCGCCCACCACTTCAGTTTTCTTCAACGACACAACATCAGGACCTGTGATAAACGAGTACCTTGACTGTGAAGTTAAACTTAGGCCCGATGTCGTCCAGAGTCTGGACCGTTCTCTTCACTGGGATGTTAGAGTCGGCCACGAAGAAGTTTATGTTGGCTTCTCTGCAACAAACAGGAAAAAGTACATGGAATAAACAAATGTCTGTGTGTGTCTGTGTGTGTGCGTGTGTCTGTGTGTGTGTGTGTCTGTGTGTGTGTGTATGTGTGTGTGTGTGTGTGTGTGTGTATGTGTGCATGTGTATGTGTGCATGTGTGTGTGTGTATGTGTGCATGTGTGTGTGTGTCAGACCTGGACAGTACGATCCCAGCGTCGTATCGGACCGGGACAGAGATGGACACTTTGTTGTCTGCAGGTCGTTCCTCTTTTCCATCACTGAGACATACAACATTATAAATGATTATATACTTCTTATATACTTCTTATATACTTCTTATATACTTATTATATACTTCTTATATACTTATTATATACATATTATATACTTATTATATACTTATTATATACATATTATATACTTATTATATACATATTATATACTTATTATATACATATTATATACTTATTATATAAATGATTATATACTGTGCATTATTCTTTATGTCTTAGTATCTTTACAGGATTATTACACAGACTTCTCCCAAGCTCTGGGTAAATATAACCCATCATATCTATACGGAATTTCAGGACCATAAAGCCTGGGTTATATGCCAAGGTTATATGCCAAGGTTAAAGGCCTGGGTAAAATGCCTGGGTTAAAGGCCTGGGTTAAATGCCTAGGTTAAAGGCCTGGGTTAAATGCCTGGGTTAAAGGCCTGGGTTAAATGCCTGGGTTAAATGCCTAGGTTAAAGGCCTGGGTTAAAGGCCTGGGTTAAATGCCTGGGTTAAATGCCTGGGTTAAATGCCTAGGTTAAAGGCCTGGGTTAAAGGCCTGGGTTAAATGCCTGGGTTAAATGCCTGGGTTATATGCCAAGGTTAAAGGCCTGGGTAAAATGCCTGGGTTAAAGGCCTGGGTTAAATGCCTGGGTTAAATGCCTGGGTTAAATGCCTGGGTTAAATGCCTGGGTTAAAGGCCTGGGTTAAAGGCCTGGGTTAAATGCCTGGGTTAAAGGCCTGGGTTAAATGCCTGGGTTAAAGGCCTGGGTTAAATGCCTGGGTTAAAGGCCTGGGTTAAATATTCTAACACACTCCATCCTTTCACTCATTACATTCACACTTATTGTACATGTTTTTAGTTGTAGGGGAAACCGGAGCACCCGGAGGAAACATATAGATACATACTAGTAATAGATGCAGTATTTTACCTTTTGGCCTCGAACTGGACCTCGGCTTTGTTCTGCAGCTGCTCCAGGTTATAATCAAAGTTTAGCTGGAACTGGACCTGAGAGAAAACAGCAGGATTCTAATACACAGAAGGTTTTTATGTTTTTGAAGAGAGAGAGAGACCAGAGAGAGAGCAGAGAGAGAGTAGAGAGAGAGTAGAGAGAGAGTAGAGAGAGAGCAGAGAGAGAGCAGAGAGAGAGAGCAGAGAGACCAGAGATAGCAGAGAGAGAGCAGAGAGAGAGTAGAGAGAGAGTAGAGAGAGAGTAGAGAGAGAGTAGAGAGAGAGCAGAGAGAGAGCAGAGAGAGAGAGCAGAGAGACCAGAGATAGCAGAGAGAGAGCAGAGAGAGAGTAGAGAGAGACCAGAGAGAGAGCAGAGAGACCAGAGGAGAGTGACCAGAGAGAGACCAGAGAGAGAGCAGAGAGAGAGCAGAGAGAGAGTAGAGAGAGAGCAGAGAGAGAGTAGAGAGAGACCAGAGAGAGAGCAGAGAGAGAGTAGAGAGAGACCAGAGAGAGAGCAGAGAGAGAGCAGAGAGAGAGTAGAGAGAGACCAGAGAGAGAACAGAGAGAGAGTAGAGAGAGACCAGAGAGAGAACAGAGAGAGAGTAGAGAGAGACCAGAGAGAGAACAGAGAAAGACCAGAGGAGAAAGACCAGAGAGAGAGAGAGACCACAGTGAGACCAGAGGAGAGACCAGAGAGAGACTAGAGGAGAGACTAGACAGAAACCAGACACCAGGGAGAAATAAGAGACCAGAGTCGAGACTAGAGACAGACCAGAGTGAGACCAGAGTGAGACCAGAGAGAGAGTGAGATAAGATCTTGTTTATACAGTGGCCTGTTCCTGGTGCAGCCTCCAGAGTGACGTACCTCCTCATTGGTCCTCAGCACAGGGTACCCCACCTGGCAGCTCACCGTCTGGGCCTGAGTGGACGAGCAGCTCACCCTGTGGTTCTGAGGACCAGGAGAGGATTCTGTCTCAAACATTTATATTCTCAAATGAAGCAAACAGAAGCTTATATCATGACAACCTCACCTCATACTTTCTATCTTTTATTTTTAAAATGTGAAGAGGTTTAACTATAACTCCCATAGCAGTAAATAAGGCATTTTTGGCAACCCTCATTTTATGGCAGTTAAAGAAGTTTTTCTCCAAAGCCCTGGTCCTGGACTGGTCCTGGACTGGTCCTAGACTGGTCCTGGACTGGTTCTGGACTGGTCCTGGTTCAGCTTGTTATCCACCAGAGAAGTTACCATAGCAACACACTGTTTAGTTAGCATTTAGACATTTTTACTTTATTTCAAGTTTCATTCACCAGTAGGACTTGTTTAAAGCAAATGAAACAAAAACACATGACAAATTACATACTTTTAATGAAAACTTGTGGAAAAGATAAGACAAGACTTTACATGTCACATTTGGCATCAGGTTGTGCAACAGAATAGGATTTGTTTAAAAAATATATTTATGGATGTTTATGTTTCTTTTATTCAGGTGCGGCCCATAGTCCAGGTATGTCAAGGTCCAGTCCTGTGTGTTGTGTTGTGTGTGTTGTGTTGTGTGTGTTGTGTGTGTGATGGTGCAGGGCTCACCGGGGGAAAGGCAGAGGAGTAGTACAGGTTGCTGGAGTATGTAGCCACCACTTGTGTGTTGTAGGCGTTCTCTTTCTTGTTCTTCACTTTGACGGTGAACGACAGCTCTTTGTCGTTGGCTCGGACCAGAACCGGAGGCGAGCTGAGAAAACAGCAGAGTCAAAGTGTGAACCGATGATTCTAAACTACAGTTCAACCTGGATCAAAATCACACACAAACAGATATAGTTCAGGCATTGTTTATACTTTCCAAGGAGACATGCTCAAGCCCAGCCTCATTGACCAAGTCTGACATGCAAGAATAATCCATGTAGATCTGTGTGTGTCTGACCTGGAGAGCTGCCTGAGTGTGTGGACAGAGAGGACCAGGTCACTCACACACACCTCGTCTGAGCCACAGTCTTTAGTGAACGGGATCTGAAACAACACCAGGAAAATCAGCACAAAATACAAGACAACACTAGCTTTTTAAAAACAGCAAAACACACAAACATCCACACTGCATAAAAGTAGATCTAAAGCCCTGTTTCCACCAGACATACTCTGCTCCACTTGGCGCTGAGCTGCTCTACTCTCTGGTCTCTCTCTCTGGTCTCTCTCTTCTCTACTCTCTGGTCTCTCTCTCTGGTCTCTCTCTTCTCTACTCTCTTGGTCTCTCTCTGGACTCTTTCTCTGGTCTCTCTCTTCTCTACTCTCTGGTCTCTCTCTCTGGTCTCTCTCTTCTCTACTCTCTTGGTCTCTCTCTGGACTCTTTCTCTGGTCTCTCGCTCCGTTCTCTCTCACTGGTCTAGAGCCCTGCATGGGCCTATTATCTTGGCCCAAGCCCGGCCTTGGCCCGAGGGGGTGGCACCCCAGCCTGGCCCGGCCTGACATGGTTTCAAAATTCTAAAGCCTTTTTTTTAACCTCCCATAAATGTTTTAGCATAGTATAGAGTGCACTGATATGAACACAAACCCGGCAGTGATGTGTGTACGGAGTGAACGGCCGCGGCTGTATGATACACAGATGTATGCTACACAGATACTGTATGATACACAGATGTATGATACACAGCTGTATGATACACAGATGTATGCTACACAGATACTGTATGATACACAGATGTATGATACACAGCTGTATGATACACAGATGTATGCTACACAGATACTGTATGATACACAGATGTATGATACACAGCTGTATGATACACAAATGTATGATACACGGATACTGTATGATACACAGATGTATGATACACAGATGTATGCGGGCCAAGGGCTCAAGTGCAGCTCTACTCTGGTCTCTCTCTGGTCTCTCTCTGGTCTCTCTCTGGTCTCTCTCTGGTCTCTCTCTGGTCTCTCTCTGGTCTCTCTCTGGTCTCTAGTATATAGCATGTGGTACTTACAAAGGACTCCCAGGCCTTGGTGGAGTAGACGTCCAGAACAGGGTTGAAAGTCTTGCTCTCCTGCTCGATCTCGATTTTCAGACTGATGGAGTTCACAAAATCTGGAGCCTCCTTTGGAAAACAAAACAAGAATTTATTTAATATTAGTCATCCTTTTTCAACAAACTTTTTAACATACAGTATGTATTCTCTCTGGTCTCCCTCTCAGGTCTCTCTCTCTGGTCTCCCTCTCTGGTCTCCCTCTCTGGTCTCCCTCTCTGGTCTCCCTCTCTGGTCTCCCTCTCTGGTCTCCCTCTCTGGTTTCCCTCTCTGGTCTCCCTCTCAGGTCTCTCTCTCTGGTCTCCCTCTCTGGTCTCCCTCTCTGGTCT